ATATATATATATATATATATATATAATAATTATTTATTATTATTAATTCATTATTTTTTTATATTAACATATTTACCAAATCATTCACAAATTCTCATAAATCTCTCTTTTATTTACTTGCAAATTCTTTAAAAAATACAACATAAACTTTATATTTAATTCACCCGTTTAACTTTTTTTAAAATTCATTTTTACGAAAGAAACATAACCTTACAAATTAGATAATAAGATAGGAAGAAATATCACTTGACATGTGATAGATTTATAATCAATGAGAAAAAAAGCTTCACTGCTTAATTTTTATAATTATTAACCGATATAATAGATTATTATATTCTTATTGTAACACAAAACATTTTGAACCATGACAATTGATTATTCATTATTCATGATCGAATATCAACGAAAACTTAACACCAAATTGAGATAATCAATTATTTCTTATTCCTAATAGATTAACATAATTGATTTTCATGTTAAAAAAAACAAATTTCAAATGTAAAAATACTCGTGATTATCTTAAAGATTAAAGCATGTTTTACATTTTAATTATACTCGGATAATGAACAATAGGGATCGAAGTTACTATAACAAAAATTGCATGTATTATCAAAATTATCATTAAATTAACATATCATACTGTCATGCTTTACTAACAAAATATTAATCTTAGTTTTATTTGAGAATTTATTTCAATTCTTAACATATAAAAATATTTGTAAAACAATAATATGTTTTAGTTAATTAATTCCATATTATTATTTAAAAGAATCATAATTTGGTTACTAAAAAATCTAAATTGTGACTATTTTCCAATACGAGAAAAGAAAAACACCGTCTAAAATTCGATTCCCAAAAGTCTCAGAACCTACTAACAGCTTATTTTAATGTTATAGTAAATGAGTTATAGTTTTGTTAAAAATAATTGATTTTAATTTTTTTTATTCTTCTTATTTTCATTTCGTTTATATTTTTCTCCAACCTATGTATTTTCTTAAAGGAAATACATATATTAGAACTTTGTACCTTGTAACTTAGCTTATCGATGCTGATTCTTGTCTGTGTACTCATAATCATATCAATAATTCAATTTCTAATAGGAAATATAATCCATATTACATGGTAAAGAACAAATTGAGTAATTAAATAGAAAATAAACAAGATAAAATATATAGGCACAAAATTAAATATATGAAGATGTATATCAAAAGATAACAAAGTGGTGAGTTGAAAATATGGTAAAAAAAGAGTTAAGTGAGTTTAATGAATATGTTGTAAAACTCTTCTTATTTACTAATTTGGTATAACTTTAGTGTCATTATTGGTAAATTCATTAATAAAAAATATAAAGAGATTATTATAATTTGTCTGTAGTGGTATGAAAAGCAGGAAGAAGAAAACAAAAAGAAAAAAAGAAAATGATTGGAAAATAATAAAAAGAAAATAGAGACCCACAAGAAAAAGGGTTGTTAAGATATAGATATAGATTATAGGCAGATAGCTCCACAAACAATGCCGAACACCAAACACGCCCCAACAACAACAACACTCTGCTCCACTTCACTGATAATCGGGAATGCGAAGCTTCTTAACACCACCACCTCTTCCTCCAAACGATGTCGTTTGACTCCAACTCCAAAACCAACCCTAGTTTCTCTCCTCAGCCACCGTTAAATCCCTGGCTCAACTCCTCCGCCGCCGCCGCCGCCGCAGCAGCAGCAGCTGAACCACTCAACCCTATGGTCCTCGCCATGCACCTTTCCGACCCCAAATCCAAAACCCTAATCCCCAATTCCACGCTGATACTAATGGACCGAACCCTGCTGCTCTCCGACGAGATTCTCATCAGAATCTTCCAGAAGCTTCCAGATTTGCAGCGAAACTCGAATTCTCTCGTCTGCAAGCGCTGGATGAACCTTCAGGGTCGGTTGGTCCGAACCTTGCGGGTCCTTGACTGGAACTTCGTGCTCTCGGGTCGGTTAACCCACCGCTTCCCGAACCTGAACCACGTCGATTTGGTTCCGGGTTCGTTCGCTTCACCGCAAGACTTAGCCAACATTGTAGTGAGTCACAAGCTGGTTTCGCTGCGCGTGGATTCCACGTGGAAGGTGGAAAATCTGTTACCTAGTGAGGCCGTTGACGCGGGTCTCAGATCGCTCTCGGGCGGCTGCCCCAATCTACGGAAGCTCGAGGTCGCCGGTGCCAGCGAGGCCGGGATTTCGACTGTTGGTTCTGAGTGCACCACGCTGCAGGAGCTCGAGCTGCAGCGGTGCGACGACGCCGTCTTGCGCGGCGTTGCGGCGTGTCGGAATTTGCAGATTTTGAAATTGGTTGGGAGTTTGAAAGGGTTCTATGATTCCGTGGTTTCGGATATTGGGTTCACGATTCTGGCGCAGGGGTGTAGGAGGCTGGTGAAGTTGGAGCTTGTTGGGTGTGAGGGGAGTTTCGATGGGGTTAAGGCGATTGGGCAGTGCTGTATGATGTTGGAGGAGTTGGTGATTGTTGATCATAGGATGGATGATGGTTGGCTCGCGGGGCTTTCGTTTTGCGAAAATTTGAAGACTTTGAGGATTCAGTCGTGTAAAGTGATTGATAGAAGCCCTGGATTGGAGGAGCATTTGGGGTGCTGTGAGGCCCTTGAAAGGTTGCATTTGCAGCAGTGCCAGTTAAGGGATAGGAATGGCGTGGGAGCGTTGTTTTCGGTGTGTAGGAATGCTAGGGACATTGTTCTTCAGGATTGCTGGGGGTTGGATAATAGCACCTTGAGTTTGGCTATTGTTTGCAGGTAATGTATTAAATTGGGGATCTTTTTTTATCTTTTCAACTTGGATGCAGTTAGTTAGGTTTTCAATTCTTTTCAATTACAATTTCAGTTTCATTTCGGTAATTAGTGTACTGATGTTTGCATTAAATGCTAACATGTGTAACTGAAGTGGAATTATGATTCTGATCGGAGAACTATGTGAAAAACACTTCAGAAACTGGATCTAAGTTTTGTCCTTTTTTTTTCTCAGGTTAATTTTTACTTTGAATTTGAATTTGTAAATGTGCAAATGGATTTGGCCCGTGGTAAAATTGGGTTTGCCTTTTTTTAATAAAAGGAAAAAAAATTGTAATATGAGAAAACAAAGACAGGAATCAGGATTTAATTAAAATGCATTGAGCAGTGTAAAGAGTTCTTGTTCTGCAAATGGGTTGCCAGTATTAGGAAGGATGTTGTTAACATTTTGTGAAACATCTTGATTTAAATTTTGAATTATAATAGTTTTTACTGTCATTTAACCATGGATTGTCGTGTATTTGTAAAATTATTGTTTTTTGTAATAATTACTTTAAAATTTATATATTTTGGCTGAATTCTGATAGTATAAGACAACATTAAGCTCATACACACACACACACACATATATATATATATATATACATACATATATACATACATATATATACATACATATATATATATATATATTATATAGCATTTTTTAAAATTTATGTATGTTGATTTGAATTTTTGAATTATAATTGTTTATTAAATCGACACCTTTTAAATTTTGGATAATGTACTTTTGTTCTCCTGCTTTAAACATTTTCCCGCTTCAATAAAGTCAAATTGATGAAATTTATGTAGTGTGTAGGTGTAAAATTGT